GGAGATGGAGGTGAGAGAGGGGGGGGGGAGGGGGGGGTCATAGGAGGGGAGAGGCGTGGCGCGCCGAAGAAAGGGCTCGCCGGCGGGCAGCGCAGAAGCTTCAGGTGCGAGCCCTCCTGGTGTTTGTGGCGCCATCTTATCTCTGCAACAACGATGTTGTTGCAAAATAGTGGCAGGCTGCGCAAGTACGCGAGCGGCCGGGGATGCTGTTGCAAATTTTGCAACATGGGCCCTGTTGCAGAAAACTAGATGCGGTGAAGATGTTGTTTTAATTTTTGCAACAAGGGTCTTGTTGAAGAAAAAATAGACGCAACGGAAGATGTAATTGCAATTTTTGCAACAAGGATCTTGTTGCAGGAAATTAGACGCTTGAAAGATGTTGCGGAAAATTAGACGCATGAAAGATGTTGTTGTAGAAAATTAGACGCGTGAAAAATGTTGTTGCAGAAAATTAGATGCGGCGGGAGATGTTATTGCAATTTTTCTAAGGGTCTTGTTGCAGAAAACTAAAGAAGAAGAGGTTTTGCAACATATGTCTTGTTGCAGAAAATTGTAAAAGATGAGGTTTCGCAACAAAGGTCTTGTTGCAGGAAATCAAAGAAGACCCGATCTTGCAGCAAGAGCATCATTGCAGGCAATTAGAGAGAATAATTGAACGGTTTGCGTCACGCAATCGAATGTTTCGCGAGGCGGCAGATCTTTTTAAAAGATCCACCGGCCGACGCATAGCAGCCCCCTATCAACAAGCATACACAATGAAAGTTATCAAACACCTTGATTTCCAAACAAAAATCAGCACTCTTACCATGAGCTTGACCTCAATGCATGGCACATTTGGGGATCCAAGGCACCAACCAAGGTGAAGATCTTCCGCTGGCTCCTCTGTCGCGATAGGCTAAGAACGATGGCGAACTTACATCACAAGACCATTACCTCGGGATCGTCTTGCCCTCGCCGCGACTTGTCTTCTGAGGATGCGACACACCTCGCTCTACTTTGCCCATGAGCGGCCCAGGTCTGGTCCCTCCTCACACTCCAGGCCCCTAACTGGGATATTCCTACTCCGGTAGGCCTCGACATCAACATTTGGCCTACCGTCGCCCTCGCCGTTCTCTGGAAGCTCTAGGATTTCAGAAACGCTTGTGTGTTTCGTAACGAGATACACTCCTCCTTAAATACTATTTAGAACATTATCTCCGATTTCATGCTTTGGTCCTTCAGATTTAAGGACCATGTTAGTAGGGGGGCTGCCTTGTCTTGGCGCCTGTACCTTTCCTTTTGCTGTAATCTATAATGTAATCTGTAACTTGCCCTCAGGCACCTTTGAGTAATATATTCAGGTGGGGATCCCCTCCCCCCGATGATTGTTCAAAAAAGAAAAATCAGCACTTTTGATATGCAAACAGTGTCAACAAGTATGTCTTGTCCATGACACTACAAAATCCCATAGTAACAGAATAATCTCAAGGTTTCCAAATACTCATTAAGGAAAGATTTGTAGACACACAAAGCAAATTTCAGACTAAATTTGTTGCTGTATTCTTTGATTCTTCTCATTCCAAAAAAAAAAACTCTCAAAACTTCTACACTTCCTGACACATGAAACCCACTTTTGTTGCACATATATGTAGAGCATCTACATGAGAAGCAAGACACAAGTTGGAAATTACAGAGGAGCACCTAGGTGCTCCACCCACCCACATTAGTACCGTTGCTATTCATATAGATTTGGGACGATGGTGTTTAATGCGCTGTATTTAGCTCTGTATCGCTCAAGTGGTAGTTTGATTAACAACCCGTATATGCATGCTATTCCGTACGTGCTGGTTCCACCGGCACACATTGAACGCAACGGTGGTGGATGGTATTTACTCCTGCCTGCTCACTGTTCCTCTTCCTCATCTTCATCTCGTTCCCCACTTCTCTTCTCCTCCCAGATGTCACCGACGAGCTGGATATTTCTCGCCCCTCCCAGCGATACTCTTTCTTCTTCATTCTTCTCCTCCGTCCCCTTCGCGAGCTCCATTCAAATCTGCATCACCACCTCTCATGTTCTGTCACCCACCTCTTCCCCAACGAGCTACCGCCAGGCTCCGGCCCGCACCGTGGTGCCCCTTCACTATCCATCAACCCACGCGTCGCCGGCGCTCTGGACGAAGCTCTGCTGCCACATCACCACCAGCCGTGAACAAATATGACTCCGCACCCCACCCCGCACGCGGCAAGCGAGGAATCTAGTTTTCTGGATTTTTTCTTCTCTGAATTTTTTCTTTCATCGATTTTTTTCTGAGGTTTCTGGATGTTCTCTCGGACCTCCAGCTGTTCTCATTTACAACGCCGCAGTCCTTGATATTTCCATCTGCGTCCCACTGTTCCTCTTCCTCAAAGGTCAATCCCTTCCCCTCTTTCTGCTCCTTCCCGATCTAAACCAGTGAGCTGCTAGATCCGCCGCCATATGTGCCTCCTCGTCCACATCATGGCATCCTAGCTCCTCTTCATGTATAGCCTGGCACCGCCTCCAACACCACCCATGCGTCGCCGGTGCTCGGGACGAAGCTCCGCTGCCACATCGCCCCCAGCCACTGACGGATCCAACCTCCCACGCCACCCTGCACACAGCCACCGATGAATACAGATACAGTGGAAGCACGGCGCCGACGAACTGTCACTGCACATGAAGCCCGGGAAATGACTACGGGGATGAAGGCCAGCGGCCAGGCAAGGACCGACCCGTCGAGCTCTTCTCCAATCATTTTCTTTCCTCGCCTATTCTCTCTCAGAAGTTTCTTTCCTCGATTTTTCTCTAGAGGTTCCCTGGTATTTTTTTTGTATGAGATTATAGATTGTTTCAATGAGATCTTCTCCAAGTTATTTCCATTCCTCGTTTTTTCTCTCT